CTTTTTCCGCCTCGACGTAGCCTCTTGGCCCAAGTTTCGTCTCACTGCTTTCAACTGCGATTTTCAAGCTTCAGATGTCCACAACATCTACGACAGCTATCAAACGCTCTCGACCATCTATGGCCTCCCACCTCCGGGACTCAGACGAACCTATCCTCATCTCTACCAACTTTCCCAAGAAAGCCCGTCCGACAACACCTCCTACCTCACTGAGGACTACATCTACCTCTCTTCATCCCTCGAGTTCGAGTACACCCTCAGCGATTCACTCTCGTGGGAGTCATGCTACTTTGAATGCCGACCGACCTTTGGTAGGACTACTTGTCAAGCTCAACGGTGAGGAGATACCTTTTCTGATTCCCCGTCCAAATCGTCCTTTTCGTTTGCCTGAGGCTACACCTTAATTCACTCCAATTCGCTACTTCGACCCATTGCTTCCTGGAAAATAACGGTAGACCCACTTGGATTACTGAATCACATTGCTACTCACTTTTACTGCCAATCTTCTCCCAGTTCATGTTTTACTTCACTTTTCACCTCTCCCGCAGCCTTTCGGTTCTATTTCGGTACGCTCCTTACCTGACTCGATCGGCACTATGGAACTTCAACCAGAAGACGTTCGTGTCCCTTTCAGAAGAATCCTCTCCGACGCACGCTCCTCCCGATGACCTACTCCCTCATCAAGAGCAATTGGACCCTGCTCTCTTGTCGAGCATCCCTCGCTCTGAGAATCAGTACAACGAGGACTTCACCGACTACGCTCGTCAAGTCCACAATTCAACTCACGGTGATTGGCCCGTGGCTGAACCATACGAGGAATGGACCTGTCGACGATCCCACAATCAACGCTACTGGTTCTATCGCGCTTGGTTCCACCACAACACTTCACGATGACATTGAATATTACAAATCTGCAACTGGGTATTTCATCGATGATCACCCAGCTTCTCATTGGCCACATACTTTCTCACGCATTTGGGGCACCCGGGGCTGGCAATTAGTGCTTTCTGCCACTCAGAGTTTTGACATTTGGACACAATGCGAGCGATATGATGCCGCTCTTCGTATTGAAGAGGAACGCATTGCCGCCGAAGAAGCACGTTTCTCTTCCACCCAACACCTCGATGACAACCCTGTTCCTCGCAGAGGCATAAAGAGACAGGCTGTGGACAACTTGGAGCACCTCAACGTTCAGTACCAGGTGGAAGCTCTCCTGCGCAATTTCAAGCATCTTGACGTCTCTAAGGTTCCAATGCTCCAGGGCCTACCCGCCCCACAACAAGAACAGCTCATCACTGGCGTCGTCCACACCCTCACTACTTACCGCGAAGAGCTTCATCAATCCTATCGACCAGATGATCCACCCGGCCATTGCGGCCTCTTCGGCTCCTCCTGACCACCTTCCTCCCACTGATCCCATCCGCGATGGCACTGGACTTCCGCTTCCTGTACCCGATTCAGCATCTATGTCATTGAACTCCACATCGACTGAATCTCAGAACACTTTATAATTTAGAGCCTCCATTTCCTCTGGAACGTCCTCATGATTGACAACAGCCTGAGCTCTACATCGCTTCCCTATACCTTAAACCCTCTTCGCATTGCTGTGAAAAGATCCTCCTCTCTTTCTCGCTTGGATGTTTATTCGGATTTTCACTCGGGATTGTTGCTTTTGCTCCACACTTTTTGCCATTCTTTTCTGCAGCCATCGGCTCCGACTCACCTCCGCGCCTGTCTCCATCATGATTTCATTTTCGGGGCTTCGTGTACCTGAACCTTTGACACACACGATTCCCACATCTCGCACGTCATGGAGTGAAGTTCGTCAACCCTTTGAAACACTGGATATGGTGCCGGACCTCTCCACGGTCCGCTTTGAATTGGATGTCAGCTTACTCGTCTACCAACCCCTGAACTACATCACTGTGACCTTAGACTGTCGACAGATCGACACCAAGGAATACACTGTCGACGATCTCAAAGATGTGATCTACTCCCGCTTAGGCCAACATCGCACCGCATTCTGGATGGCTCTTCCTTCCACTGGCGATTCAAGAGTATGGGAAGTTCCACACACCTGCACCCTTGAAGACCTCGTCCTCTACTTCATCAATTCTCGACGGGTACGTCCACTGGGCCTCTCTGCTGAATATCCCCGTGACTCCGTGCCCTTTCCTTACCGACCTCTCCACGCGGTCGCTCCCCGTCTTCATGATGATGCCATTGGTCAACTTCGACTCCCACTGACTGCCTACCAGACCTACCGTGAGATCCGTCAGTTCTCTTAGTTTCACCTTACCTTCGGCATGGAGCTTAAAATCTTGCCTCCCTTCGGGGAGGCGTGTGTGTGTCACCCTTGGAGTCATAGGGCTGCTTTGCATTTGCTTTTGTTTTACAGCAGGGGGTGCCAGGGACCGTGCAAGTCTGGCACTGACAAAGACGCTTGCACTGGTCTGTGAAATCAATCCGGGACGCCGGATTGATCTTATCCCGACCGCGGCGGGCAGTGTTAGCAGGATGTAAAGCAAGAAGAGGGCAGCCACAGCCCCTTCTGGAGGCTCTGGAGACTGCGCCTGCCACGAGGACTGCCAGCGGCACCAGCGGCGACAACGCGCGCCGCAACCCCTTCTGGAGACTCTGGCTACTGCGCCTGCCACGAGGACAGCAAGCGGCACCAGCGGCGACAACGCGCGCCGCAGGCCCTTCTGGAGGCTCTGGATACTGCGCCTGCCACGCGGAAGGCAGCCAGCGGCACCAGCGGCGACAACGCGCGCCGCAAGCCCTTCTGGAGGCTCTGGATACTGCGCCTGCCACGCAGACAGCCAGCCACGAGGACAGCAAGCGTCACCAGCGGCGACAACGCGCGCCGCAGGCCCTTCTGGAGGCTCTGGATACTGCGCCTGCGACAACGCGCGCCGCAAGCCCTTCTGGAGGCTCTGGATACTGCGCCTGCCACGCGGACAGCCAGCGGCACCAGCGGCGACAACGCGCGCCGCAGCCCCTTCTGGAGGCTCTGGCTACCCCCACACAGAGATGTGGGGAATGAGAGAAATGACAGAAAGAGGTGATATGATGACAAGATGAGTGTGTGTGTGTGAGATGATGAGGACAAGATGAGTGTGTGTGTGTGAGATGATGAGATGATTGTGTGTGTGAATGTGAGATGTGAGATGACAAGATGAGTGTGTGTGTGTGAGATGATGAGATGATTGTGTGTGAGGGAAAGAGGTCAGATGACAAGATGATTGTGTGTGTAAGAGAAGGACGGAGGAGAGAAGGACGGAGGAGGGAAGGACGGAGGACGGAAGGACGGAGGGAAGGACGGAGTCGGGCGGGATGGCAGCCAACAAAACTAGAACCCCACACAGAGATGTGGGGAATAATGTCGGCTTTTAACATGGTCATATGTCTGACTCTGTTTCATAAGCGAATGTGAGGCTTGAGCAGCTTCGCTTTGGACCAGCTCATGAAGGAACTCGGCATCTACAAACCCGGCACCGTGAGCAAAGCTGCCAAGGTGGAACTATTGATTATTTATGAAAACATATGAAAACACTTGAGTACAGCCATGATAAGATCGCAAAGGTCCTAGCTCGACCGAAGCTTCCAGCCAAGACAAGAATCAAGAGGTGGAGGACGCAATGATTTGATGCAAGGCTGCGCTTCTGAGAGAGCTTCTCCACCGAAAGCCAGAAGATCAGGAAGCAGCAAATAGAAGGATGCAAAGAAGAGGGACAAAAGGGGAGAGAAGAAGCGCCGAGGATCCAACTCAAGGCCTGAACATGCAGCAATGACAGAAGAGGATGTTGAGTGGACTTACCGCCAGGTTGTCATGTGGGGCTTATAACACCTCAAGTCCTGCATTCAGAGCCGTGCTGCCTGCTGATGTGAAGTACCAGGAACAACACACACAAAGTCCAAGAGCTTCCACCACAGCGAACATGCAGGGGGTGGTATGGCTTCATGCAGCAGTGATGCGACCAAGGCAGCAGTTGTGGCATGGCTTTGGCAATGACATGAGGCCGAGCGCAAAGCAACAGTTTCCTGTAGTTCCAGGGATGGCAAAAGTTTGTCTAGCTCATGTAGTTGGAAGGCATCAGTACATAAATGAGCAAAACGCGACACTTCCTGTGGCTACGTCACTGCGTCAGTACACATGCGCACAAGGCTTACTTAGATCTAACAAGAAGCGGTCAGCAAACTGTCTTTTCAGCAGGGGTCATTTGCTGTTACTAGTCAGTGGACACTTTGCCTTTCAAGTTCAAGAGGCACCGAGCTTCCAATAATATTGGCGTATCAGTTTTGACTGAGCATTCTTATCGATTTATTGAGAGCCAAGTAAATGTCAAAACAACACCGAAGGACACATTGATATTGAGTGGTGGTGGTACATGATTATATAAAATGACACAACAAGTACATTACTTGTGTGCATTCATGAAAAGCGGTGGCAGCCTACCAAAATGATTTAATACAGTAGAGTGGGGCTCGCCGGTGGCCCAGGTAATTGATGCTGCTTGGAAGCAGCGGCCCAACTGATTAGGTAACTGAACGAATTCAAATTCAACTAGAGTATTGTGGTCAGGCAGGTCCAAATTTAAAAGGTAGGACGGTAGGACAATAATAATATATAGACATTCAACATTCAATTAACAGAAATGAAACAACACTTTAATAGCAGTCTGAGCAAATTGGACAAGATTGCATTGGCAAATCGGCCCTTAGCAGCTCAAGTTAGCAGGCGGCCATTTCAATAAGCAGCATAAATCCTGTGAGCGTGTATTGAGTCACCATGAGACATACTTGAAACACGTCTAATTCAAAGTGGACGGTCATTTGGCTAACTTGATGCAAAACAAGTTCAGTGCCAGTCCAGCGCAGGTGTGAATGATCACATGTTAATGCACCTATTTAAGATTAAAAAGTGAGCCACACACGTATAGTTGAAGGATTTGATTTGAAACATTCGGCCCCCACGGTTTTGATCACAGCATATTCTCCTGAAGTCTGCAATTGATTTTCGCACACCAGCCCTCAGAACCTTGGTATGAGTCAAACAAAATCATGGAACAAAAAATATAATCTCTGCAACCAACCTCTTCCGTCGAGAGGTCGAAAGCCACTAGAGAAAAGCTCAGGAGCATGAAATCCTGACGGAGCTTTTAGCTCTGTATTTGTGGAGGATTTCATGAAATCTCTTCGGAGCTTTTAGCTTTGAGCGGTTTGTAAGGTCTCCTCATGCGGATCATTCGTCCAAGCTGTACCAGCCATTCCGCCCCAACCTGGGAACTCTGAAGCTTCGTTGTACCTTTGCAGTGAAGGCCAAGGATTCCAACCATATTCACCTGGTCGCAGGGCCTCTCGACAGCAAAAGGGGATACGGAAAGCATCTTCCAAGCTCGAACTGTCTTCCGATTTCCAAGTCAAAATCAAATTGTTTCGCAAACTCTTGCGTATTGATACCATGCCTCATCAAGGTCTGGGTGACCCACAGAAACAGACTTGGATGAAACATGACGAAACGGTTTTGCACACTTTTGCAAAATCACTGCTGGCTGTAACTTAGAATAAGTTAGAAGGCGCAAACAACTGCACAGAACGCCTCGAAAGGTTGTATCAGGCTACATTTTTCTGAGTGTTTGGCTCCAAGTAGACCAAGGCCAACGCCAGGAGAATCAAACGTCCAAACATCTTCTCGTCCTTGAAAAACATTGTCCTATATGCCAAGCCACTAGGCTCAGGCAGTTCCCACTAACAAAACGCTGGGCTACTCATTTCCTGTGGCTCTTGGAAGCAAATTGGATCTCAGCAAGTCGACGGTTTCAGACCTGAGCCGATTTGGTGCACACGATCAGTTAAGAATTGAGCACCGTGCAACTTGTGGGCAATTTGATACCAGTGGCCTGAATTTGTATCCTTTGATGTGAACATTTGGTAGGCCACATTGGCTCGCTGCAGTTTGCTCTCTTTTTCATGGACTCCACTGGTGCAAATCCGTTCCGTTTTGCCACTAGGCGCAAAAGTCGCGATCTCTTGCTCATGCGCCAGTGCAGCCGCCCTGGATGGCTGCATCAACATTGTATCGGCACAAGTTGTACACCTCGTCGAAGCTGCACCTCCCAGGACTTGCTTCTTCACTCCATGACTTTACTTGGAGTGACCCCGACGGTGACATGTCAATCATTTGTCTTCATGCCATGGTGAGGAGCATGTTGCCATGGTCGTGAGTTTTGTGGCTTTTGATTTTTCTTGTGGGTCCTCGGGCTTGGGATTGTTACTTTAGTGTTAGGGAGTTCGCGTCGGGGTGTCGCCAGGGTCTCCAGTTGGCAGCCAAAAGTGCTACCCTGAGACCACCTGCCCCGCAAAACGCCACACACACAGGTAATTATATTGTTGTAGTTGTGTGTTTGTGGTCGTGTCTTTGTCGTTGTGCTTGAGTGTTGTGGTTGTGTGCTGGTTGTGTGTTGTCGTTGTGTGTTTGCGGTTGTGTGTTTGTGACTGTGGTTGTGACTGTGACTGTGTGTTTGTGACTTTGTGCTTGTGTGTGTGGTTGTGCTTGTGACTGTGCTTGTGGCTTGTCTGCTTGTGGTGGTGTCTTGTGCTCGTGTACTGCGGTTGTGGTTTTTGGTTGTGTGCTGTGTCTGTGGTTATGCTGTGTGGTTGTGTGTTGAGGTCCGATAGTGCCAACTGCGATCTGGCGGGTTGAGGTCCGGCAGTGCCCACTGCGATCGGGAGCTGCGCAGTTGAGGTCCGGCAGTTGCGCACTGTGATCTGGCGCTTGCGGGTTAATTTCGGTAGTGGTCACTGCAATGGGAGCTTGCTGTTGAGGTAGTGCCCACTGCGATCTGGCACTTACTGTTGAGGTTGAGTAGTGCCCACTGCGATCTGCGCTTGCTGTTGAGGTGGCGAGGAGCAGGTGGTCCAGGAGGAAGAGAAGAGCTCTGATAAAATCTAACAACCCTCGCCCTCACCTGGCAGGTGGGGAAAAAACTGATTAGCAAATACATGCAAATACAGTAGTATTGACATGTGGCTACTTTCTCGCCAAGAGACATAACGATTGAAGAAGAATTGACAATCTTGACAACTTTGCCGTCATCGTCTTTCACTTCGGTTGAGCTTTCGTGCCTTAATGAACAACTGTACGTGCGGTTGTGAACCGAACTTTATAACGTGATACAGTAGATGCCGGGGCACACAAGGTATCTCAAATCAAAGTGCAATAGATTACACAAACAAATCATAGAGTATCATAGAGTACATCACAGTAAAAATCAGTAAGGTGGACATAGTCATGTCACTTCGAGTACTTTCTCAAGCACTGATCCTTCTCCAAGCCGTTGCCTGAGTTGCAAAGAGTCAGCTTTATGCACAAGATTTAAACAGGCGTCTGCCAAACATCTTGTTCGGTCACCATCCACTAAACACCATGATCAAGAAGAGTTGCAGTACTCATTCTCTGACAGCTTTTCCATATTCTTCCGCACTTGTTCGCACTTTTGGCTTTCGCAACATTCCTGCTTTGAATGACAGGTGTAGTCCGCTGCGAAAGGAAGAGGCAACTCTCTTGAATGAACATCCCGACCTCATCCGTTGTACCTCCAACCTTCTCAGCGCCGGGAATCTGCATCAAACCCTTTGCAGCACTGCAGCCGTAAGTTGAACATGCCTCGCTTCAAAACAAGTTCAGTCAACATTTTGATTGACGCGATGCAACAACTTTACAAACTAAAGGTGGCACGGGCAAGCAGCAAATGCTATTGCTGGCACCAACGGTGTCCTTCTTTGCTGACCTGCAAAGTGCACTATGCATGGCATACATTGGCAAAGTGGGGGAATCAAATCAACCGACCGAACCATCACAGTAAAAACAAACCAAGCGTACCCAGAATATGGCAGCCAGTTGTCCGATGCTTTGCACGTCCACTGCTGGCAGGTAGGAAGGCAGCACTGCGAAGAATTGTCTCCTCCGTCCAAAGTCACACATTTTTGAGCGCTTTTTAAATTCACAATGCAGAATTTGTCCACTGTGCATGATTCTAGTAGCTGGTCACAGTGTACTGCCCCATACTGCCCCTACTTGTACCCTGCTGCCTATGTCATTCTCAACCGCGGGCCACGGTGCCCAACCATCTTTCAATGAGCAGTTGAACTGCTTGCAAGTCGGAAGGCAGCAGTCCTGCGGCAGCGGCTAATTTTAATGTTTTGCATATGTAAACACGTGTGACATCGTGTAAACAATGTTGTGAATCGTTGTGAACATGCAATTCTTCCTTGCAAAATTCCATGGCAAACACATGCCCCAACTCAGACCTCATCCGTTTCACCAAATGTATCCTCCTGCGAAAAGTGCCAAAGACAAGAAAAGGTCGGTGTCGTTACAAAGAGAGTAGTAGTTTCTTGTCACTAGTAGTAAGGCCAGGAGCTACTACTAGCGTCCATATGCGTCCTTGCTCCTAGTAGCGATGTCCTTTGTTCCTAGTAGCTTCTTGTTCCTAGTTCCATATGGTGCCGCTGGGTGCCAGCCTTCGCAACATTGAGCGCCCAACCAGCACTGCAGCTGTGAGCTTTGCATTGGGGCTTGCAGCACCCCTGACGCCGCGGTGGACGCCCCAACCCACTTGCAAAGACTAAAGAAGGGCGAACTGCACAACCAATGCACCAAGATACCAACCAGGACTGTTCTACAACGTCGCATACAAGCGCATGTACTCTTGCAGGTCCACAAAAAGAGCATCATACAACCCATTGCACGCCCTTCTGGCTACCGTTCCCCCCATCGATTGTCAAATGAACTTCATCACATGTGGGGGTATCTGATCCTGAAATGTATGGTTTCTGCAACCCTAACTAGCTGAAGATCAGTGTGTAGCAAAAGCAACATTCATAAACAAGTCGCTATTTGCAGTCTTTCTTGGATTTTGCTTTCAAACTTTCTTGCCACCTCTTTCTGGAGCACTGAGTGGCTGAAAATGATTGTGCGAAATCGTGCAAAACCAAACATCGCCACATCGCTTGCTATTTACACAGTTCTATGATTTTGCTAGTGGCTTTCAATTTTTGCCAATGGAATCCAATTGGAAAACCGTTTGCTATTTAGAAGGTTCGTAAGGAATTTGTTGGTTTGGGATTTACTTTGGATTTGGCTTAGGGCAGGATCCCGTATATTCTTTCGCAGCGCTGTTGGACGGCATGTCATGTTCCCTGGCTGTGGCTAGGGTGAGGGGCGCACCCCATTGTTGCAAACTTTTTAGCACGGTAGGCCATAACATCCGCCATTGTGACACGGTCACAAAGGATAAAACAGTTGCGTGGTGTGTTCCTGGTAGTTGCAAGCGGTTGCACCGGTCGCCTGGGTGTTTTATAGCGTTGTGCAATGTTGTGCATCCTTTTTTGCTGGTATTTGCAGTGTTTTTCTGGTTTACCTGCAGAGAGACTGGGGAGAGCGATACACACAAGATTTGGGTGTAGGGGTAAGTTGTTCTCTACGTTCGAAAGTTGGTTGCGTTGGTGTCAGATGAGCAAGCAGAACCAAGGGGGCATCGGGGGTGGGGTGGGGCGGTGTTGCGTTGGTTTCAAATTAGCGAGCAGAAACGACCCGGCTCATCTGAGTGTGTATCGCTTTCCCCAGTCTCTGCAAATACCAGCAAAAAATGATGCACAACATTGCACAACGCTATAACACACCAGGCAACCTATGCAACCGTAGCCTGGTAGTTTGTTTCTTATTCCAACTGTCTGAATGTTGTCAGTGAGGCCTTGGAGTTTTGAGACCTCGTTCCTTCACGTTTCTTCTTAAATCAGATTTGGTGGCAGGACGTCAAAGGCCGACACCTCCCCCCCAAAAACACAGAGATCGTGAACCAGAACAAGAAAGCACGTTCTTCTGCTCTAAACTTACCGTCGGGCGGCTCTACGTTGGAATGGCTCCGCCCAAATCGAAAACATGTGTTTTTTTGGGCGGCGATAAAGGGCACGCTGTGTTGCAATGTGTCGTTCCTGCTCTAAACTTTAGCCTTGAGGGTCGCTCCTTCCTGCTTTAGATTTTATGGTTGGGTTGCCCACAGGTGTGCTCCAAGTTGGAATAGCTCTATTCTGCAATAATTCTGCCCTGCTCTAAATTTTGCCCACGTGTGGACCACACTACGTTGGAACGGTTCTGTCCATCAAACGAGAAACCAAAGACCCACAAAAAACAACACAACAGAAACCAACAACAACTTGCCTTGCAAAGCAAACTAAGAAGCAAGAAGCAAAGAAGCAATGAGAAGTCACCAAAAGAAAAAAAAGTAAAAAGGCCGCGCGCAGAAAAGTAAATAAACACAAAAGCAAAAAGCATTAAAAAACTATGGCGGAAGGATGCGGAAGGCAGAAAAGCAAAGAACCGGACAGCAGAAAGGCAGAAAGCGGACACGCCAAAAAGCAGAAAAGAGGAGAAGCAAAAGCGGCAAAGGAAAATAGCAAGAAGCATCGGGACCCCCCAGCAAATTTCAAACACTTTTCAAAAAAATCCGGCAAGCATGGCAATCCTTTTTCAATTCTTGCCTTGCCACCTCTTTCTGGAGCCCTGACTGGCTGAAAACCATGTAAAGCCAAAACAGGACCATAGCCCTCTTGCCACTTTCAGGGTTATGATTTTGTTTGCGTTTTTTCCACATCTCTGTGTGGGGTTCTAGTTTTGTTGGCTGCCATCCCGCCCGCATCCGCCCTTCCTTCCTTCCTTCCATAGCAACGGTTCTCTCCAGAGTAGAAGGGGCTGCCCAGAGCCTCTAGAAGGGGCTGCGGCGCGCGGAGTCGCCGCTGGGCCCCCCCAGCTCTCCACAGTGGCGGGTGCAGTCTCCAGAGCCTCTAGAAGGGCCTGCGGCGCGCGGAGTCGCCGCTGGGCCCCCCCGCGGTTGTGTGCGCTACTGCCATTGTGATTTGCATAGCAACGGTTCTCTCCAGAGCCTCTAGCAGGGGCTGCGGCGCGCGGAGTCGCCGCTGGGCCCCCCCGCGGTTGTGCGCGCTACTACCATTGTGATTTGCATAGCAACGGTTCTCTCCAGAGTAGAAGGGGCTGCCCAGAGCCTCTAGAAGGGGCTGCGGCGCGCGGAGTCGCCGGGCCCCCCCGCGTGTGCGCTACTGCGATTGTGATTTGCATAGCAACGGTTCTCGCAGAGCCTCTAGAAGGGGTTGCGGCGCGCGGAGTCGCCGCTGGGCCCCCCTGCGGTTGTGCGCGCTACTGCCATTGTGATTTGCATAGCAACGGTTCTCACTGGTTCGGAATCGCATTGTAAGGGCCGCGGCCCCCGCGGGTGTG